TTCACCCTGCTAATGGAAGGATATTATTAAACTGGAGACGGTTCAGAAAAAATTTATAAGGATGTTACCGACACTGGAGGGTTTGACTTGTAAGGAGAGGCTGGGGCTTCTCTCCCTGGACCGTAGGAGGCTGAGGGGTGACCTTATGGAGGTTTACAAATTCATGAGGGGCATGGATAGTGTGAACAGCCAAGGGCATTTCCTTAGGGTAGGGGGAGTTCAAAACTAGGGGCATATTTTTAAGATGAGAGGAAAAAGATTTAAAAAGGGACATTTTCACATAGAGGGTAGAATGTATGTGGAATGAGCTGCCAGAGGAAGTGGTAGATACAGGTAAAGTTACAACATTTAACAGACATTTGGACAGGTACATGAATAGGAAAGGTTTAGAGGGATATGGGCCAAACACAGGTAAATGGGACTAGTTTAGTTTGGGAAACCTGGTTGGCATGGATGAATTGGACCGAAGTGTCTGTTTCTGTGCTGTATGACTATGAATCACAAAAAAACTCGGCTCCAAGTTCAGCAGGTATAGGGGAAGCAGAGGGAACGTTGGCCTTTATTTCAGAAGGAATGGCGTATTAAAGTATGGAGAACATAAGGACATACGTTTGGGAGATGTGGAGAGATTATTCCCCTTGTGGGTGGGACTAGGACCAGAGGGCATAACCACAGAATGAGGATCACAATTTAAAACAGGGAGGAGGAGGAGTTCCTTCTCTCCGAGGGGAGTGAATCTGTGGAATTCTTCACCGCACAGGGCTGTCGAAGCTGGGTCACTCAGTATATTCAAGGCTGAGACTGACAGATTTTTAAATAGTGAGGGTGACCCTGAGTGCAAGCCTCGTGTTCACTCGCTCACCTACTCACCCTTACTCACACTCTTCACTCACTCTCTCCCTCCATCCCTCTCGCTCCCTCCCTCCCTCCCTCCCTCCCTCCTTCCCTCCCTCTCTCCCTCCCTCCCTCCATATCTGTCTCCCTCCCTTCCTTCCTCCCTCCCTCACTCATTCCCTCCCTCTGACCCTCCCTCCCTCTGTCCCTCCCTCTCTCCCTCCCTCACTCCCTCCCTCCATCCCTCCCTCTCTCCCCCTCTCCCTCCCTCTCTCACCGCTCAGGTTGAAGAGGCACGTTCCTGAGCTGACATCATTGGCCAGAATGCATTGGTAGGTGCCATATTGTTTCGCTGTGAGCTGGTTAATCTGCCTCATGGATTCCAGCTGTGGTTCTGCTGGCGGTGTTTCCAGACGATTCCCATTAAATGTCCAGGTGACAGAGGTCACTCTCAGTGGGTTACCGCTGACCATTTTACAGCTCAGGGTGACCGTTCCACCCAGTTTCTGGCGCACATCTTCATAGAGAGGTTCCACAGTTGGAGGATCTGGAGAAAGGGACACTTCAGTTAAAGACTCACTAATGAAATGGATAGAGACTGCAGAAAGCTACAGCCTAGTGTGATTGGGGTGGGGTGGGGTGGGGGGTGCGGTGGTGGTTTCCTTGTGCATGAGTCACAGACAGTGGGACTGTAGGTGCAGTGTATAATAAGAAAGACAGATGGAATCCTGGCATTTATTGCAAAAGGACTGGATTATAAAAGTAGTGTTAGTTACAGTTATACAAGGCATTGGTGAGACCACACCTGGAGTATTGTGTCCAGTTTTGGTCTCCTTACTTGAGGAAGGATGTGGTGGAACTGGAGGCAGTTCACAGGAGGTTTGCCAGATTGATTGCAGGGATGGAAGGGCTGTCGTATGAAGAGCAGATGAATAGCTTGGGCTTGTACTGAACGGGGACTGATGAAGTGAATGACCTGTGGGACAGTCTTGAACAAGTGAGGAATCCTGACAAAGAGTCCAAACCGAAACATCGAACCTCCTGTTCCTCTGATGCTGCCTGACCTGCTGTGTTCCTCCAGCCCCACACTGTGTTATTCCTG